GTTAACGACCGAGTACTTCAAGTCTGGTTCAAAAACACATGATTGCACCGGCAAGCCTAGCGCGTTCCAACTTGGGTTTTGTAGTATTTTGTTGTCTCCTTCTTTTTACCGCTATCTCCAGTTTTTGTCTTAAGCTTCTGACTTTTACTCTCGTTTCCTTTCTTCACTCTCTTTCACCAAATCCTGCCTGCAGCGCAACATCTGAGCTTATCCCAATCCCCACTATAACAGCACTCTGGAAGCAAGCAATATTTTAGCCTTTCCCCGCCCGGGGTTCCGCGCCGAAGACTAGGAGCACACTTCCTCCTTTTTTCCCTTGCATGGCCTAGCCAACCAACAGATGACCCACGTCACGTAGCCATTTAATTTACCCACCTAACCTGCTTCCCTTCCCCGAATCCTCGCGTTCGAAACCCATACATATCACCCCCTCGCTCCATCTCATCTCTGGTATCCAACATCCTTTGCCACGGTGGGGTTAGGACGCCGTCCTTTGACAGAAAACTTTTTGGCAAGCCACGTGTATGGCGCAAGCCGAGTGGCCGAGCCAAGCTAGGCCAAAGTTTAGTCACTGCCTGATAATTGCCTTCTGGTGTACATCATTTGTAGCACATATGGTTTGGTCTACAAAATGGCGATTTTTGTATTTGTATATATACAAAAAGCACACTGAGGAGATTTTATTATGAATGTGCATATATATGTCCATGTGTCTGGCACCTAGGTTTCAAGTATGCGGTCAAAGGAGCAGTAAGCTGAAATTCTAGAGGACTTCGCTCCTGCCCCCTATAGTGACAGATGGGCATCAACATGTCTCGCTAGATCTCCCTCTAGAAATTTAGGCAGATGAGGTACCTACTACGTTAGAAATGATTACGCAAGTCACCCTTCATTGCTCTTTTCCTATATGCAATCATTTGTAAAGACAATTACTAAAACTCGATTCGAATCGGTCAGCGCCATACATGATTTGCAGAAAGTTTTTCTCGGTGATGGCGGGTGGGCTTACCCCTCGGCAGCTGGCGAGATTTATGGTGTGGTTGGTGAGAAGGGGTAGCGTGCTATGGGTTCCGTTCAAGGCTGGGAAGAAGCAAACCTGAGTTTATGAATAAAGCAAAAAAGGCAAAGTAAAAAAATCTGAACCTGTAGA